TTGATTTCTATCTTTGCAGAGTTTCGATGAGAAAGTTCCGTACCTGCAAGGGATCACAAGTTTTAATGTTGGGTTGCAACATTTTGGAATACGTAATGTAGCGAGCATTTTTTCATTGGTCTGTCAGTAGGAATGGCGTGGCGATAATGAGACACAGCAGGCACTCCGCGCCGGACCGATCTGCGGTTTTTTTTTCAGATCACGAATATAACTGACGTACTAATTACAAAAATAGTAGGATAACATGCATATGAGGGCCATTGCGGTCCCAAATACTATAAACCACATCAGACGAACGAATGCATCCGTTATACACTATACTATCTTAAATTAAAATAAAGAAACGACACTCGCACACGCTGTATTCGCAACTCTTTCAAATTACATCACAAAGCACTTAGGTTAAGCAGATACGGCGTTGTCTCTGCTGTTGTGACCTTGTGAAAATCGTTCATGTCATTAGAAATTCTGCGAACAAACACGTCGTGCCGCTCTCTGAATGATGATTTCATCTTTCGAAAACAAACATAAAATCTATTTTTTAACAACATGTCACACTAATAGCGGTCCGCGAAAATCTTGGTGTCGGCTGGATATCAGAAGAACAGAACTTGTAACGTATGAGTGATTGGCAGTATTGCTTCTTATCATAGAGGCAACGCATTTGATTCTCGGCTTGAAGGCTGGCTTATTGGCCAAGATTTTATTTGTTTTCCTCAGTCCCTATGGTCAGATGATTGGATAATATCTTAAAATATGTCAAGATGTTTCCTTCTAGTTCATCGGTTAAAATCGTCCTTTGATTCACACTATAACTTATTCTATTAAGAATGCGTCGTTAATAATAGTCCAAGGGACAACAACGAAACGCAACACAAATTTCTGAGAAACAATGGAATGAATCACTACTGAACATCCCAGATTGGCACAGGCGGGACGCATTTGCAGCATTCCGCTTAAGTACAGGACATGATTGTTTAGCCAAGCACCTCCACCGGATTGGCATCTATACCGAACCATCCTATGTTACGAGGTGCGATCGGAAAGTTTCAAGACTGCGCCTATATTTTAAAAACAAAAAAACCCGTACACTTATCTCAGGTATTACATTCATCCATCACCCTCGAAGTAGTTCCCCTGGGAGTGAACACAACGATCCCATCGCCGCTGCCAAGCCTGGAAGCATCCCTGGAAATCTTTCTTTGTCAGCCTGTCAAGCACCATCTGCGATTCTGCCTGAATCTCTTCTATCGTCTCAAATCTCCATCCCTTTAGCTGAATTTTCATCTTTGGGAAGAGGAAGAAGTCACACGGAGCTTAGAAAGGAAGCTGGGGTCGGTTCTTGCAAGATCTTTGAGCTCCTGACAAACGAAAAGTCGATTCTGCTTCTGGTCCTCAGACAGGAACCTTGGCACAAACTTGGCTGCGATGCGTCGCATGTAGAGTTCTTCCTTTAGAATCAGCTGACAGGCCCCATAGCCTATCCCAACAATGTCGCACAAGTCGTACAAGTGATGGTACGACGTCGATCTTCGTGAATGGCCTGCCGAATCTTCGTAACATTTTCGGGCGTTGTGCCCGAAGATGGTCGTCCAGAACGCTCGTCATCATCGACAGAGGTTCGGCCATTTTTAAAACGTGAATGCCACACAAAAGTTGGTGCACGACCCATTGCGGACTCCCCAAATGCTTGCTTGAGCATTTCATAGGTTTCCGTAGCCGTTTTGGCGAGTCTTTGGCAAAATTTGATGCACACGCCATTCCGAAATCGCAGGAGGGTCGGTGTAATGCACTACCAAAACGCCCGTAACTAAGAAACAAATGCTAATTCGATGATGCCGGCTGGCACACTGATTCACTATGAATGTAGGCCGCACCCCCTTGCGGCAGAAGCTCGTACTACATCCGGTTCGCCCTCTATTGACACAGTCTTGAAACTTTCCGATCGCACCTCGTATTTGTAACCAAGGAGAGGAAATGGACAGTTACCACCTACAACACTGCTCAGCTTTGAAGAGCAGCAAACTTTATGTTCGCTACTGGGAAGCAAGATGTGTTATGGGTCAAAGATGAAATTCTATGTACCTGCCATTTGACATAAATAAATAAACAACGAAACGCAAGGATTGATTTCCAATAGAGAGTTCTGAGTTGGAGGTTTGGAAGTTCTCATGGCGGTGAAAATGTCGATGTTAATCTCCTGGTCAGTAACGAAATGTGGATTTGTAGGTAGATAACGTTTCGAAGGAACATAATGTTTCCATCTTCAGGGTAGATTTGTTTTCACTATTGAACAACTGTTTTAATGCTTCTGTATTCAGAAATGTGACAAGGCTACACACAAAGCGGATATGTTGGAGAAGTTGGCGCAGCAATAAGGCGTTAATAATGTGCCTTCATCAGTCGTTCTGTTGTATGTATTTTATTTAAACGACGTTATATCAACTGCATTAGTTGTCATCGAATGTAAGGGCGAATGTAAATAAATTATGGAGGATCCGGAAGGAGGCAGGCGTGGCTTATATTTTGGTGCTGTCCCAGAATTTTCCAGGATGAGGAAACTGCGACTAGACTAAAACCCGACATCTTTAAAATACGAATTACGATTATTAAGCACCCAAGTGTGACCCACAAGTGTTGTCTTAAACACATTTTAGTGCTTGCATGTGGTGTCCATGGGTATATTTAATGTATGAATCCCACCCTTCTTCAGAAAGAGAAGTCTACTATTGTCAAACATTGACCTGGAATTAAGAAAGATTTTTCTGAAGTTATATGTTTGGAGCGAAACATGGTCAGTGGGAAAGCCAGAAATGTGTTTCTATAGAAGGATATTGAAAATTGAGTGGACTGATAAAGTACGAAATGAGCTGGTCTTAGGATAGGCGAAGGAAGAAGTCTATGGAAAAATCTTACCAGAAGAAGGGGTAGGATGGTGGGACACATTCTGAGGCACCCAGGATTGATTAATTTGATAATGAAAGGAACAGTTGAAGGGAAGAATTGTAGGCGGAGACAAAGATTGGAATATGTGACGTAGATTTTTGAGGATGTGGGCTTTAAAAAATATGTGGAAATGAAGAGATTGGCGCAAGATAGGCGAAAATGGAGGACCACATCAAACCAGTCGGAAGACTGATGGCAAACAAACAAACAAAAACAACAATGAATCCAACCAGCACCATTTTGTAAATAGTTCAGTTGCTTAATCGTGGCTTTACGAGATAGGGGAATAGACAGGGGTTGTGGGGGAAAGCAAAACTGTGATCTCTATTATCAGTAGTGGAAAGAAAGTTAGATACTGTCACTGAGGCTTTAGCTCTGTGAGAATCATTAACCATGTTTTGTAACGTGATTTGTTTATGCAGTATCACACAAAGTTTTCGTTTTTCTTGCTACTAGATTATTATCTGAACACTATTTTCTTCGGCTGTTCATAGTTTTCCTCGTGATTTCACTTAGTACGGACAATGTAGTAAAGAACACTGTATTTTTGCTCGCGCTTTCATGATATTCTACCTCTGTAGTAAAAAGTTATCAGCAAAATGAGTCATATGTTTATAGTACTGACAGATACGTTTGCCAAAATGGATTTGGACTCAAGTAAGTGTCCTGCCCAACAAGAATTCGCCGGCTTTCATTAAATTATATTATATTAAATATTTATGCCACAGGTTCCTTCGCTAAATTTTCTCATTGTTTACTTCAGTCAAACGGGAAAGTAAATAACCCAGAGAATTCTTGAGGCAGCAATGTTTTTACTGTACCTTCTACAAAAATACCCTAAAACCCGCATATTTTAAAAGAATTTATGCCACACATTCTCACAGAATGATGGTACCGTTGTTCCCAACTCAGATATTCGCACTGCCACTATTCGGGTACTATTTATTGCACGGAATTAAGGAATATTTGCTGTTGATATAAAATTACATAAAACTGTTTTAATTGTTTCATTTATTGTAAGGAAAACAAGGAGAGACACACAGACATGATACTGCAAGAAGATATTTCCTTATAAAGGAAAGTAGGCTAAAGGTGACAATTTCAAGGTTGTGCACAAGGGAATAGGCTTCATTGTGTTCAGTCTGCGAGCACTGGAAGCATTCCAGTTAATTCCAGCTGTTTCTTGTCTCTTGCGCCTCGCATGACAACCGATGAGAGTAATTTCCAGAACGCTGTCTAGCCTAGATTTCTGCTACGTTACCTCCTTTAGTATCATGTCCTCAATATACGACGACTTTTATGAAGAAATAAAATTGCCTTGTCTCTGAGATTTTTATGGTCCCAGGAGTCTAGTAATTGGACTCAAAGAAGCAGTCGAGTTGGAACACTTCCTTAATGAAGACTCATATTAAATTTCGGAACGCTCACTAGATCATACATAGATATGCCGGTTTAACACTGACGTATTACTTCTTAAATATGTTCGACCTTGAATCATAATATTATGTTCCTCAGCTTCCAAGAATTTTTGCAGCTCTACTTATTTATGAAAAAAATTATCTTGCCTTCTGATTAGTTTGTTTTATATTAATCAATTTTCATACGAGAATCACATTATAATTATTTTCTGCCTTGGTTAGCAAAATTCGAATGAATTCCCTTCACTGTTATTTGTAACACAGTAGGAAAATGCTTGCTACTATTTCTTCCAGACCGTTCAATAATCCATTACCCCAGTGCTTCCCAAACCTGGGTAAATTACCCAAAAAGGGGTAAAAGTGGTTTTTCTTTGGGTAACGACACACCTCGGAATACACATTAAAATTTACCGTAAAATTGTAGAAGTACTCTGAAGAAAGCGATCAGTCATTGTGCACCGATTCTCTAAAACAGTCTAACAAGTATTTATTTGCTATTTAATAAACACGCCATATGCTTGTTATTAGATTCAATCATTTTTGCCGCGCTCGCATGCATGCGGAGAGTTGAATAAATACGTCTAGACGTACCGCCCCCTAAACTAAAGTTAGTGAGTTAGTTGTCTAGTCTAAAGTTTAGGTTCAGTGTGTTGCTAGCTATGGCAGTGTGAGGTACGTATCGCGCTGGCTGTGTTTATAAATCGTACCGTACACAATTGGAAAAGGTAATCTTCATTATATTATTTTTAATTTATTTAAAATAATATAATTTACATACATTGGGTGAAAAGGACTTTCTGATAAAAGGTTTGGGTAATGAATGAAAAAGTTTGGGAAGCAGTGCATTACCCCATGTCTAGTACACTCTGTGCAACAAAAGTTTATGCTGAAAACCTCCAATTCCGAAACCAGAAGTGATGTAAGGATAAAACTAGTTATAACGCCAGTCATTCTTTATCTTCTAATATTCATCCGTATCGGGGTTTTCTCCATTAATTATAATAATTTATGCCAGACTTCTATGGGAGATAGGAGTTGAAGGAGACCGGATTTTGTTGGTTCAGCGGTGGGGGGCTTTGGTTAATTCGGTGATGAACCTTTGGGTTCGATAAGCCATCTAGTTAGTTAGTTAGTTAGTTAGTTAGTTAGACTTCTATAAAGCAAACACCAATATGTATGCCTCATTTGGAATAAATTAAAATAATATTAATTACATTTACGAGAACTGTAAACAAATCCCACGACAAAATGCTGGTGAAGTCAATACTTCCCATTGCGTTTAACGTTCCAGACAGACAAGTCAGGAGGGTAGGGTGGTAGCGTTAATGCGAATATCACAATCAGATGTCTTGATACTGATAGTGAATGTATTCTGACGGAAAATGGGTATGTTGTGTATGCACAAATACCCATTTAATTGTGCGGTTGTATATTATTAAAATATACCTTTAAAAATTTCTGTGCTAAACTCGTACTAAATATGGATCCTAAATAAGTAAATTGTGATGTTCAAAAGAGAAATGTGTAATTGCATACACAATCCAGTAACCTTCTGTTAAAGGGCAAAATGTAACCGCCCGTCCTGTCATTCATTTTTTATTGTATTATTTGAGCTGCATTAGCGAGGTGGTTTGTTATTCATTGGTAATCTTATTTCTCGAGGTTCGGTTTTTGAATTTGACTACAGATAAACAATTTTATTTGCAAAAAAACTGTAGACGTATTCTTGCTGTGTAAAACATAAGCGTTACGCACATAAAATACTAATTATTACTTTGATTTTCGAGAGGACTTCATCAAGACCTGGTATCTTCAGTATGATATTAAGAATCCTGAGTTTTGAGCCCGCATTTCGTTCCTCCCAGCATGGACCCAATTAGAGCACGAACATAACATTCAGACGAAACAATTTCGGTAGTAATCAACCTTAAAGTAATTTCATCCAGGGTTCTACTTGCTGCTTCTGAATTTCTATAAGATATGTTTCTCTTATGGTGTAGTTCATCCACGTACGTACGTACGTGTTTAGGTTGATTTATAATATACAGTACCGCCACGGTGGTCTAGCGGTTAGAACGCTGGCCATGTAATCCTGGGGTCTCGGGTTCGATTCCCGGCGGTGCCCGAATTTTTAACTTGTGTTGGGCAAGGCCGTGGTCTAGGCAACACGGAGTTTTCCTCCGTGGCATCCCAACAATTACTCCATTCACACACAGAAGAAGGCAATGGCAAACCACTTCTGGATCATCTGCCAAGAACGTATATGAACAGGTCCCAGTCCGAGAAAAGGATGGAAGGATCCTGTTCATATGGACCTGTCGTCAGACAGAACACTAAATAAATAAATAAAATAATATACAGGCTGTAACTTCTCATCCATAATTATCCTAAGTGTACGTAATTAAGCCCCACATCATATAACTAAGCTAATTGTATAATAAGTATTTAGAAATTACAAAATGACTAGTTGCAAAGGCTTTCACCACTTTAGAGAGAAATCTCATCCACAACTAATCGCTTTCTGAGTGATAAGAGTGACGTTCGAATGCACATTAATGTGTCACGAAAGCACGCTGTGTTATTTTGCTCAGCACGAGTATCTTTACTCAAATATGCGTTTTATATATAACATATATATTACCAATAACGAAGAAGTAGCTTTAGTCAAACACATTCTGAAAATGTCGCACTTCTTTGGTATGGTGGCGGTACATTAGACAACTACAAAGCACAACATGAAGGACCAGTAATGTATGCCTTGGACAGGTAAAATGAGTAACGATACGCGCTAGAGCGCACAAAAGCTATATTTGAAAATATGAAAAGAATCAATCAAAATCACTATTAATTAAGGTAATTGAGGCTGATTATATCTATTCAGTAATTTGTTAAGACCGTCTACCAGTCAGGATTTTATTTCTCTTGGAGGCATGTCAAAAATTCAAGTATGAAGAAATGAATGGTAAACTGGAGCTTCCATGTGTTTACGAAAACCTTGAATACTCTCTGCCCCAATACTCAGTCTTAAGAACACATCTGGGGTTCAGTCTTGCATCCAGTTTAATTAAAGCATAATAAATAAACAAACAAGTTACTGGTTACGAGGAAACTGATCATGTACGAAAATAATACGAATATCTGTTAGGCAGGGAGTAAACACAGGAATGTTGGAAGTATCTGGCAGGTCTCGATTTCAGAGCTTGTAATTATCCCATGACATAGTGGCTCCACCGCCTTCATCGTACCCGTAATACCTGAAACCGGTTTTGAAACGGTATAAGAGTGTAGTTTACAAACATGGGAAGGCCCCTTGGCTTGCTTAAAATCTAACGTTTATTTTTGTCCATTAATTGAATACCTTCTAGGATGTTTCCCGGAAGCATTTTATAGACTTTATGGTCAGTATAACGTCACGGGAATGTTAGCTGTCAGTTGCATTTTTCTGTCATTTTCACACACAAAAATCGGTTCTTGTTCATGTCTTTCCAAATTAAACCGTTCCGGCAGAGATCAGAAAGTTACGTTGCGATGGAGTTGTCGTAGGTGTAAATGAGAGCTCTCGATAATAAAGCTCACTGTAATCTTACTGTCGTTTGAAACTGTCTAAATAGCAAACTGTTCAGTTCCTTGAAACATTCATCGAACGCCAACTCGTGTTTCGGAAGTCCCGAGTTGAGTAATCGGCTCAGCAGCTGACTATTGTGGCTGATGTTTTCAATGGAATTTCTTCGCCTCTCTAGGCAAATGCTGAGACAGTACTTTAAAATAGGTCACTGCCTTTTCCACCCACATAGTTTCAAATCCATCTTCCACAGTAATCCTCACATTGGACTTCAATGGAATCAGGCAGTATTTGAAAAGTCGATAATTACCCAGCTAATCAAGAAATGTCCTGCTTTATGGAACCTGAAGGTTCATTACCGAGTTCACACAATCTCAACATTCATTTACATGCCACCACATACTATTCCTTAAAAATCTAATTTAATATAATCCCCCATCTACATTTGCTTCTCTCAAGTAGTGTCTTCCCTTGAAGTTTCGTAACCGAATTTTGTATGCATTTCTTGTTTCTTCTTCCATGCTACACGTCTAGCCTGTCTCACCCTTTGTTTATGAAGCTAATAATATTAGTAAAGGGTAAAAAATTACGTACTTTCAAAAACTATACTGACACTGAATAAGATACCCGAAAATTTTAACTGGGTCACTAAGCACCTAATCCACACGGGATTATGATCATCCCATCAGCGAGCGCGAAACAAAGAATCGGATTTGTTACGCAGCAGCCCTGAGGATGAGAGCGGAGATTGTTCTCGAAATGTTGGGCAGAAGAAATGGTTTATACACCATTCAGCCACCTGACGCTGCTTGTAACCCGAGAGTCTTTCATCATGATGTTAATATGTAAGATTTGAGGTTTTCACAGCGGTGAGTATGAAGATTTCCGTCTTCTGGGTTGTTGCGCTGTGTAGTCTGGTCGATGTTAATCATCATTGCCCTGATGACAGAGGCAGTATGACCTCTGAAACGTTGATTAACATCGACCAGACTACACAGCGCATAATAGTTTGTTGGGCTAAAACTTCCAGGAGTTTAGTATATGGTAATGTAATGCAATTATAATTTCTATTTAATATAATGCGCTACTCGACTTTGTTAAAGATATTGGCAGTGGGTGTATTTTCCAAGGACTATTTCCTGTAGTCTAGCTCGTCTGTGGCACGGTTTACCTCGGACCTCAGAACACACTAACTCCGAAGGGCGTGATGTTGACGCCGCTAGTACCGTTGGATCTTCCAACCAATCCTGACCTAAATTCTCTCTCACAGTGGACAACTGCCCGTGCAATGGCATTCGCTCTCAAAAGAATTTCTATGGCTAGCACGAAAACGTCCATTGTTCTTGTGTCAAAGTTATTGAACGACAGTAAAAATGACAAGTTTGATCAACGTAAACTGTCCTTTGTATTAGCTTTTCCCAGCTTCTGGCCCGCATATCACTCCCAGTCCGTGATAATATTGGGATGTGCTGTACACATTGGAGATCAGAAGTGAAATTTTTCGAATGTCTTCTCACTTATTGAAGATAATTAATTCTCCGACAAATTAACTTACAAATTAAATAATTGTGTTTATTACAGTGGCCGAGCGGTCTTGGACCACGTGAACACTGGAATTGTGGGTTTTATGTCGCTGTAGGCACTAATGTATGTCCGCGTCTAGTGTTTTATATTGTCCAGTGCAGATAGAGCCTTTTCGATTGGTTAATCACCCGTCAACGAAAACTATCTATAATATTTATTATTGAAAAATTAATTGTTAATAAAAACAAGATAGAAAGTTTGAATTTAATGACTGAAGAATCAAGTAAGTAACTAAATAATCAATCAACCTTCCGTTACTTAACTAAAGAACGCACAAAGATAATTTCAAACTAAGTTAAATATGGAAGTGATAAGTCTTGCCAACTAGAATTAGCTAGGTACTGACAGTCCTCCACTAAAATATGTAATTTTATACCACTGTGGTTCTGCTCCGGAATCTCGTTTATAAAAATGGTGTGTACCAAGGAAGAGTAAGTTTGCTATTCAAGTAGATGCTTCAAGAGACTCATTTTACCCTTGCCATCCCTGTCTTTGTTTTATTGAAAAATAGTTGGCATTATGAACTATTAAATGTTCTGACTGCAAATTCTAAAAAGGTGCATATTTTAGAATTCACCG